TAAGGGTAAAAAATAGTAAATCAAAAGTTTTCATACTAAGTTACTTTATTAGTAGTATAGATATAGAGTTCATCCTTATGGTGTAGATAGTGAATAAACTTCAAATATAAAAGGTTGAGTTTAGCTCCTAATTGATCTGTAGGCTAGATTAGGTAGTCTATCTAGTTGTAATATACACTTGATGGATTCACTTGTATAAATTGGGAGTGGGGCCGCCTCCTATGCGATCTTGGGCAGGTTCTCTAGAACATCTATGAATATCCAAATATGATACATGGCCTATTCGTACCAATACGCGATGAACAAACTCAGATTATAAGATCTAATTTGAGTGGTAAGTGTAGTCAGTTTACACTAAAGAAATATAGTTCATAAAAATATTTATATTTCACTAGATTTCTATAAGCTCTGAGTTAATTGCTTTAAGTGTCAGTTCATAGTCCAAATGACACCGCCACAATGCATTAGGTACCTGTATTCCCAAAAAGAATTTGTTTTCATATTTATTTTATATTTTGAAACATGTTGAGGATTGTTGTAATTTATTATATTTTATTTCAAAATACAAAGTTTTGTTATGGTGTATACACTTATATGACGGTATTCCAATTATTATACTGCATAATATAAATTTCAAGTAGGTTTAATGGTGCCGATTAGATGGAAAGTTAAAGGCTGTCAAACACTTTATGCTTTTAACCGTTGGAAGCAGTTGTTATCTTCGATTGAAATTCAAAACCAAGTTATTACTGTTAGATGCCAAGGAGTTGCATATTTTCGGTTCATGCACCATTCCGTCAAAAGGAATTCAAATCTTTTGAACTACTTCAAGCATAAATTAACCCAGTAGTCATTATATCTTAATCATTACCCTAATATTATATTAGAACATGTAGAAATGCTTCACAAGCATTGCACCGGTTTGGTATACTTTGAATGGATTTCAATGGTCATGAGTTCATTGGATGCGACACCGATGCATCCATTGGGTCCTTATAAAGGGCAGCAATGTTTGTCTTAAGGGAGTGCTACACAGAAAAGAAAGTCTCTCCCTGTTAAATAAGATTCTCATGTTTGCCGTATAAACTAGCGGGTTTGCGGACAATGTTTCGTGAATTACTCACAATCTGTTCAACCAAATTGCTTTGGTATACTTTCAAATATCTTATTATTTTGTGATTTGATTTGGGAACAATTAAAAGTTGTTCAGGATATTTCTACATTTGTGAATGCACGCTTGTGAAGAAACGATAGTTGAATTCTAGAGAGTATGATGCTATAACCTATTGCACCAAGTTTCGTACACATAGGAACAAAAATCTATTTTTAAAGAAAAGAGAATTTTTGAAGAATAGAGACAGTTTTAAGAAATGCGTTGCCCTATAAAACGTGGTCTTTGACCGCATTTTTTAGATGTTAAAATTATTTTTTAATTAAAAATAGGAATGTTAATCCTACTTATTAAATGTGTCGTATTTTGATAAATAAGTTTAAAATTATAGTGTTGTGATAATTTTATTTTAAAATAAATGTATTCTAATAATAACTCTTGACGTATCAATTTACTGATATTATTTGACATTTTATTGAGGTGACTGTTTTTAATTAGTGTTGAATACCAAATAAGCATGCGTGATACCTAATGAGCATCCAAAATTTTCTCTCCCTCCTTATACTCCACCCATCCCTAAACTTGTTTCTCCTCCACTATTATCTCTTGTCCCCTCTCTCCGACTTTGCAAAGGTAAGAAGTTGAATTATTTACCAAAGTAATGTATTTTTTAAACAAATGTATCAAAATACGGTACTTTTGAATTGATTTACCAAATTACGGTATTTTTTTAAAGTGGATTTAATAACTCTGCTTTGTTAAAAAACAGATTTAATAACTCCACTTTTGTTAAAAAACGGAATCAGAAACCCTATTTTTAAATTTAAAAAAACTGGACAGTGAGAAAATTGTGTTTAGTAAACACACTTTTCACACAAAGCAATTTTGCATTAATTAGTCGTCTTCTGCTATCATGTCAGCCACCTTATTGTGAGTATGCAGAAGTTACAACTGCATATTGAGATGGTGAATCAGAATTCAAAACATTAAAGGGCAATACTCCAAAGGAAATTATTGAATCTCATTAGATGGTGGAAATATGAAATTACAAAGTCTCACTGAACTTTTATACTCAACTTGAACATGTGATATATGTCGAGATTTATGCCTCATTTTCTTGCATTTTATGGATTGTGTATTGGTTAGCAAGTAGGAGTTCCAAGTGACCATCAAGAGTAATAAGAGGAGTCCCAAGTTAACATTGATAGATAACTTTTTGCTTTCAAATGGTTTAGTATAATTTTACAACCAAGTGAAGTGTAAGGAGAGGTCTACAGTGAATTCAAAAGTCATAGTGAATTAAGTCAGCAAATTATGTCAATAAATTAAGTCCTAATAGCATTGCTCTTTGGCATAAACCAGAAGATCCTCTTCTCTTCCATAGAGGTAGTAGTGCTGTTGAGAGGAGCTGAAGAGATCAATCCTTGAATTGGGTGGTTCAACAATAAATCATTAAGAGCCCAACCAAAAATGCCCCTCAACAGAATTACTGAATATTGATGTTATCTTTGTTTGATGGATTGATGTTGACAACAAAAAGTCCCAAATCTGCAGTGTTTGTGAGGTTTAATTTTGTTGATATTCTGAAACTAGATGCTTTCTGTTAGAATTTTATGTTGTGGTGCTGAGTTTTTTGTCTACCACTCAAGTGGGTGCTTCTGAAAACGGTTTTCATAGCTTGGATTCATCAAATGCAACTCTTGTGGTACGAAGGTTGTACCCAAAAGACTCATTCACTCATTCGTTGAGGTCTTCTAATACTACTCATTATACTCACTCTTCCGGTACTCAAAATATGTATTTTTTAATTTTAAAAAAATTAAATAGTATTTTGTGAATTGTCGCAAATGTGAAATATATCACACAACGCAATTGAATTGATTCGAGCACGACACAAAAATGTTATGATACGATACAATTTGAGAGCTATTTAACAAGCATTAACGGATGAAATTCTTTTTGCATCATAAATGTAAAATGTTTAAACTTTGAGGGGTGTAATTTATAATTAACTCAAATTTTTTTAATGGCAAAATATATGACAATTAGTCTCAGATGTACATTGATACATATTTATATTTTTCAAATTATAAATTAATATTTTTAAATTTTGAGGGTACAAATTAAGATTTAAGTAATTTTTCAGAGTGCAATTTGAGGTTAACCCTTTTAACAAAAATGTCTTAATTTAGTAAAGAGTTAATCTCAATTTGCATACTGAAAGATTATTTAAATCTCAATTTACACCTTCAAAAACATAAATTCTTATCAATGTGCATATGAGGCTAACTCCATCTATTTTGTTAAAAAAAGTTTGGACTAATTATAAATTATACCCATCAAAGTTTAAATATTTTATATTTATGATTCAAAAAGAATTTCATTCATTAATGCTCATTAAATAGTTTTCAATGGTATTGTATCATAACATCTTCGTATCGTGTTCGAGTCAATAAAAAAATATTTTCAAAATTTTAAAAAAAATTATAAAATACATATTTTTTACCTACAATACTTGTTAAATAGTTTTTTTCTATTTATAGTTAGACAAAAATCTTTTGATTGTATGATTAAATTAAAGTTAGATACGAATAACACAACTATAAACAGAAAATAATTATTTAACGAGTATTATAAGCAAAAAAATATTTATTTTTTAATTTTAAAAAAATATTAAAAAATATTTATGAATTGTCGTATATGTGAAAATATATGACACAACACGAAAATATTTTGTGTTAAAAATATTTTTTTATTGACTCGAACATGACACGAAAATGTAATGACATGATACAATTGAGAGCTATTTATTAATTAACGAGCATTAATGGATGAAATTCTTTTTGAATCATAAATGTAAAATATTTAAATTTGGAATGGTGTAATTTATAATTAATCTAAACTTTTTTAATGGCAAAATAGATGACAATTAGTTTCAGGTCCACATTGATATATATTTATATTTTTTAGGATGTAAATTAATATTTTTAAACTTTGAGAATATAAATTAATATACGAAAAATCTTTGGGTATACAAGTTGAGATTAGCCATTTAGTTATACCGTATAATAAAATCAATTATATCAACTTAATACTTTTATCTAATTTATATTTTTTACACCTATTTGATTTTCAACTTGTTTTGAATTATTTAATAAGAATTTTTAAATTCTTTTGAAATCATTTATTAATAGTACAATTACTTATAATTATCTATATCAGACTAGATTTCACAGTCCAATATATATTTTATTTTATTTTTTGATATATAATAATATAATAATATTATAAACGATCTAATTAATTTATTTAACAAAATAAAAATTAATAATTATATAATATAATTAGATGTGCAAATCCCTAATAGTGTCAAAGAGATAATTAAATAAATGATAAATTAAGTATTTAAAAACTTGTAGAATAAATTAATAATTAAATTTAGCAGTAATTAAAGTATGAATTAATTATTTGAAAGCTATTTTATTTAATTACATATATAATTCATATTTTTTTAAAAAAATATTATTTAAATTTATTTATTTTCAACACGCGGCGTGCACTATTAATATTTTTTAAAAGGACTGTATTTTGGTAAATAACTAACAATACCCTGACTGAAGTCACTAAATATTAAATTATGATACTATGCGTGTATTGGAGTGTGTATAGTTGGAGTGTATATTTAATGTGTGTGTATGTGTAGTGAGTGTGTACTGAAGTATGCGTAGTTATGTGTTGTGGAATATTTGTGTTGAGTTTATAAAATTTGAAGGAAAAATGTGTAAAATTTGGGAGAAAAAATATACACCCATAAGTTAAAACACATGGCTATCTATAATAAATTCCAACAACCTACTGTTCTTCATCTTCCGCAGCTAACCCAACGAAAATGGCCGGTCCGGTTCACTATACTCGCCTCCTCCTCCCATCCTCGACTACGTGCAGAAAGTCGACTTCAATCCTCCCAAAGGCACCAGAGACTTCCCTACCGAGGAAATGTGCCTCTGTGACGGGCTTTTTCAGAATTTCAGAGAGGTATTCCTATTTAGTATTTTTGGATTTTCACTGTATGCTTGTTGGTTCACATATACATGTGTGTGTTTTATGTACGTTTGAGGTTCACATATACATGTGTGTGTTTTATGTACGTTTGAGTGTCTATCTTGTGCCTAATGTGTATACTTATCTTGCGTGTGAATTTCGGAATTGTTCGAGGCAATGCATATATTGGTGATGTATGGACTTATTGTGTGTTTATATTTATGTTTGATTAGGGTTTGCAATAGGTCCATAGAGACGACATCACTCCATATGCTTCTTGAGCTTCTGCCATATATGCATGTGCTTTCGTGTATTTATGTAAGTATGCATGTGTGCATAATGCTAGTAGTTATTTGGACCGGTTGGTTGTTGGATAATTTAGGTTCCATAATTTTTTTGCATTTGAAGAGGTTGATTTCCCAGTATTGGAGTCAGAGTTGCTCTTCTTTAGGAAAGCTGGGGAGGAGATCAGAGACCAGGTTTGTGTTTCTTGTCATAAATTGTTATTAACAAGCCTCTCAAAATTTCTTCATCTTGATGACTCATCCTCTTTTTGAGCATCTTAAATTCTAAGAGTCAATATAGATGTCCTTTGGTACCACTGGAACTCTATGTAAAAAAGTGAAAAAAAATTCCAATGCTTTTTTTTTTTTTCTGACAAATAATGTTTGAATTTTTTGAGGCACCAAAATTTTGTATAATGAATGAATTCAAAGGGAACTCACGCTTTATACAGTTTTTTTATATACATAAACGTGGTAAGATTGTGTTTCCTTTTCTTTCTTGTCCAGCTATTGTTTTGAGGATCCGGGAAATCATTGAGTTGCATTGAGGCCTGAACTTCCTCATCTCTGGCGAGGCTTGTAGTACGAAAAGGGTAAAACTCTAATTTATTTTTCCGTCTTTTTTCCTGTTTTATTTTTCCATTTTTCAGGAAGAACATATAGTCTTTGCTTTTAAAAAATATTCCTTATTTTTGTTACATTGGTTGATCCAGGATTTGGATTGGCTAAAATTTTGATTTGCTATCTATTAATTTGTTATTATTTATGACTTTTGTCGATGTTGGCGGTATGAAAGAATGACTAGGGGACTGTGTCGAGAGCATTACCAGTAGAATATGGAGATCATTGGTGTGCCTGATGTAACTATATGTCAACTTATACTTCACTATCAATTTGCATACTTTGTCATAATTGCATTGTTTTTATGTATTGTGCTAACTTCATTGTGGTTTTCTTATTTTAAAATAAGTGTTTAATCTCTGGAATCTGGATGGTCCTAGTATTCTTATGCATTTTTTGCGAAACAATCTTGGTTAATGCACTGTGCTTTCTGATTGACGTTACAATCATAGCCGTATTGTTTATTTGGTAATATGTAGCATTTCTTCCATTGTAGTAGCAATGAATTATGGAAACATAAAAAACTTCATTATAGTTGTAATGAACAGCACTCTGCATATTTATCTTCATATATTATCACCTTCTGATCTTGGTTAAGATTATCTCTCCATGATGTATGATCATGTCAACTATGTTGTAAGAGAAGAAAAAGGTAAGCGACTACTCACCCATTTCTCATACATATCTTCACATATAGAGCTGCAAAACTAGTAACCTATATGTTTATTGTGAGGAAATTTACCTGCAAATTATGCCGCATGAATTATCTTTGATGATCACCATTTATGTTTTCTATATTGTTTTGATTTTAAGATTTTAGGGGAAATTTGCATTCTATGGAGACTCTGAACCAGGGAATAGGAAGACTCTTTGGTGGGCAGCCATATAACTAATTTGAATTATTGAAGGTCATGTGTCTATGATAGCTCACTCTTTTTGGCTCTCTTGTTCTTCGATCTTTTTCCTACATGGGCATGGAGTTGAAAATGTATGACATAAGCAATATACTTTTGTGTTGTTGATGGCTGCACAATCAACAAATGGGATTCTGTTACTTGCACTGATGCATTCTGCCTTTTCAAGGATACCTACCATCTTGTTATTTCTTAAGATAGTTTGGTCTAATTTCTAATTTTTCTATAATATTTGTCCTGTTTTGTGAATGGTTAGCTGCTCAGGGAGAAAGAGCTTATACCAGAAGTTGGTCACCAACAGACCATTGTGTTGCTATTTGGATCATGACCTCTGCGGTGTATCTGCTGCTGTTGCTACCATTCTCAGGGAAAAAGGTCAAAGCGTTGATTGGATGTTTGAGAATAAACCACTTCAATGGTACGTCATTCACCTTTACAGTGTTTAAAGGTTCCTCGTCTATATAACATACTGTCTGATACATGGTCAGTTCATATTTTGTTCTGTTCCTCTTTTTGTAGGGTGTTCAAACTGGCTGCACGGGTACATGCGCCCAGGCTGATGTTTGTGGGAAGTGCTGAGTAGGGAAAAGGTATTGTATTTTCATCTGGTGAACAATATGAAATCAAAATTAATGTGCTAGATTGAAAAGATTGTTTTGTGGTTCCTTTTAAACTGTTGATTTTTGAGAGACATATTATTTGTTTCCATTTTGTATGTTTGTAGTACTTTTTCCAATGATCTTATTGTCAATAAAGTCAATTAGGTGTTGTAGATCTCTAAAAAATTTATATTTGACATCTGATCCAAGGGAGTTATCTTATTTTGCTTCACATTGTCCTAGTTTTCTGTTTTCTTTATATGATTCTTATTGTTTTTAATAACGGAAGGGTCAAAATCTTTGCTAGTTCCTTATCTTCTCCTCTAAATTATGAGTTTGAATCTATGATCTTTGAGTTTAGTAGGTTGATGCTTGATTTCCCTATTAGGTCCACCTGGGAGGATGGACTCAGTAGACACTTTCAACTTGTGGATCTGCTTTCCGAATGCAAATCTGTGCACAACTAGAAAATCCATTATTATAATTGTTAGTACTTTTTTCTGCTATGATGTATGTGAGCCTGGAGGCTTGGACTCTAGCCTTTCATCTTTTTGAAGTGAGTGCTCAGCCATCTTTTCTCTTCCTTACTGTTGCAATCCAATCTTGAACTCCTATATCCGGTTCAAATTCTTGTTATGAATTATGATAATATTGGACCGCCACGTCCAGAGTCTAGAGTACGATGCAACTCTTTGCTTGTAGTAAACGAGTTAGAAGAGTGAGGCACTAATCTCAAACCAAAGAGAGAGAGAGGTCCTTGAGAGGGGTCTTGGTATGCCTACAAAACATTGTAGACAATCCTGTTGTGGCTAGAATTGAGTGGCATGCTTCTTAGTTTTCAGTGACTTTGTTTTCTGCTAGTGCCTTTGACTCTTATCCTACTTTATCTATCGTAAGTACCCTATCTTCTAGCTTAAGCCAATATCCCTGGTTTGAGGATTGGCATCATAGTCTTTTTGGTGATTGTTGACCAAGCACAGAATGTTGTTGGTCAACACTAACTCTTTGATAAAATTGCTGTTTTGTGGCGATGCTATATGCCGTTGTTGTTGTGTTTTGTTTATCGAGAAAATATTATTCTACTTACTAGTTTTACAATGCTGGCTTGCACAACAGGTGAATGGTGTAGTGTTAAGCCACTAGATGTGAGTTTTAATGTCTGCTCCCTTGGTTTAAAACTACACCTATTTATACTTTAAATCAATGAACCATTTAAGAGTGGGGGATAGTCGCGGTTTGAGTTTTAGGAGCCAGGTCACATTCACAATGTCATATTGTTTTGGTTTCCTTTTCGGTCTAGACTTGCCTGTGATTGAGAAAACATGTTTTCAAAAGGATGTTCATGTGGATTGTCAGTAGTAACATCTGAATAGAGGACAGAGGTAGAAGTGAGTGCCTCATTCATTTGAGCTTCATCAGGTTAATAGATGACCGGATCATTGAGAATGAGTTTAGATTTATAATCCATTGGCAGTAGTGCGAACCGATGGTAGCACCATGAAGTTGAAAATTAATCATTTTTCAAAAGATGGCCCGAGATAGTGAAATGGAACTGATAGATGAAATTGCTGGGATAATGTTCAGTAGGCCTAGATTTGGATGCTTATTGCCTTATGGCATGAATTGCAAGAACCATTTATTTTTTGATTGAGTTACTCACTGTTTGTCCTGTACTAGCCTTCCTGTTACCGATACCGTTAGATCTTAACTGTAGCTCCACATCCAAAGCACTCTTCATTCATGGAGGCAGCTCCATAATCTGAACACTTTGAAATTGGAGCATCCCTTTAGCAAAGAACAATATGTTCTTCTTCCCTAGTTGTTGAAAAGTTCGGAGAATTGGGTGTGTTTGTTAACCTAAATTCAGCATTTAAAAAGAATATATTCTGCACTTATTAATTAATCCTATTTGATAACTAAAATCAAAATATCTTAATATGTTTAGTACTTCTTAAAAATATGCTAAACTATTAAGTAGGAGATCCTTTACTTAATTTTGAAAGCTAAAAGCCCTCAACAAAAACATCTTTAATAATAATATATACAATATGACAAATTTACTCCGAAATATTTTACAATCCTATTCAAACTTTAATTAGTCTTCTTTCCAAAACCCCCCAATCTATCTATCCTCTTTAGTCTTCACTGTTCCTTCTTCCCATCATTTTCTTCAGTGATCGCACACACTGCACACACAGAGTTTCTGCCCACACACACAAACTGAGAATTAATTTATTTTCAGACACCTGTTTTGTGTAGATATCAAATAGTTTAGTTCAATTCAGTACTTAAATTTCAGTGGGTGCAAATTAAAAATTCAGCATTCAACGTTTAAAATTCAGCGTTCAATTTCCAAGCTAAAGCTTTCAGCTTTATTAAACACCAATCAAGCACTTGTTATATAAGATAAGATTCACTTCAAAGAACAAGGTTGAGACATTTATTTCAAGGTCATGTGGCCTTGCTGTGCAGTTGCCTAATTTGTAGTACAAACTAAAATTCCTTGCATAGTCTCTAAAAGCTCCCTTAGTACACTTATATTCTACCAGGAAGATCTGACCATCTACAATACAATGCTTACACTATGTACAATACTTCTCCTGATGAATTGAATATGGGGTATATACCTCTAGTTTGGGACGAATGTTCCAACATACCCAAATCCAATTATGAAGAAAGCCCCTGCTTGCAGTAACAGATATATGAAGAAGTGATCTTTCCCAAAAAGCAGGTCATAAATAGCACAGTGCAGCATAAACATTCCCATTATCAGCTCCAAAACATGGATCCTGCTTGTACATCACAATGTTTAATTTATACACTTAGAATGGTTCAGCGAGATGTTGTAGTAAACAAGAGCCGTACTGTTGCATGTCACCAAACCAGCTTTTTGCTGACTAAAGGAGTTTTTAGTCAAAGGTAATTAAGTAACTGCAATAGAAATTTACCGTTCTCCAATGCGTGATCGTGGTTTCTTTGATACTTTGGCATTGTACTTCTGCTTTGTTGTGTTCCCTAGCTTCTCAGTCACGACCCACTCATTAACTCGGTTAGCTTCTAAGAGTCCTATAATTGTTGCCTTCGATCGATGAAGAGACATGACATTCTCAAACAAGATCCAGAAGACAAGAAGATGCAGAGACCTGTGCCCAAGAGAGAGGGGTTTTTTTTTTTGGGGGGGGGGGGAGATCTTAGCTATAAATTTATGTCATTTTGTTAACAGAACTTCTTTTTGTTGTATGTGGAATGGTACCACCTTGGAGTGCAAAGTGCATTCAGCGTGGTAATTGCTGCTGGAATGTATATGGCTATTGGCTTTGGAAGTTGCACTTCAGGAACCAAGATACTTGCTGGAATAACCACGCAGTAAAAGAAGAAAGTGACCCAGTGTGCAATTATCTTCCTGACAAAGAAGAATGCATAGATGACTTGGAATTTCTTCCAAACAGACACTCGCTGCGTGAGGTAACAGAGGCCCTGTTAGATATCTATGGGATATAAACTTTTCATTCAAATCTGGACATTAATTTTTCCAAATGATTGATACTGATGCAAAAGATTCAAGTTTTCTTACCTCACAAAGGATAATTTCCTTCGTCATTTTTCTAAAGAGGTTAGCTGGGCCACATGACCATCGATGCTGCTGAAATCGATAAGCCTTGAAAGTACTCGGGAGTTCATTTTTGACCTACAAAGATCTATTTTAGTTTTTTAATTTACTGAGACATCAAGACATCGAAAGAAGTAAATTCGAGAGGTAAAACACAAAACTCACTGCTAAGTCCCCCACGAAGACAAATCTCCAACCCTTGAGGCTAGCCCTGACTGCGAGATCCATGTCTTCCACAGTGGTCCGATCTTTCCATCCACCAGCATCATTCACTGCTTGAATTCGCCAAACACCAGCAGTTCCTACAATGCAGTCATGAAACATTCTCTAGATTATGCCTCCATGCTTGTGCAATAGAGGTATTTTTGTTGGCTTGTAGTGGTTTTTTATTAATTGGTGGTAAAGACGTAATTTTTGGATTACCATTGAATCCAAAGAATTGGCATGTTGAGGAGCCCACTTCCTGCTCAACACTAAAGTGATAGTCTAGTGACATCTCCTGGAGCCGCGTCATCAGACATTCATCTGCATTCACTACAAAAATTGAATTTATTTTCAGATTCCTTGAAAATACCTGAATTCACTAATACCACTAAGCTTTTGTTATTCTTATTTGTGAACTGTTTGTCTATACATGTTGTACACAATAAAGCTAACTTGGTTGACCAATTGTAATTATCTGACACAAAAGACAGACACTCATGATAACCAATTTGGTCATGAGATAGTTGTAACATGAACATTACATTGTCATAGGCATTACCAAATTTCCATCTGGCCTGAACCAAACCCAATTCCGGGTTTTCGAGAAGATAAGGAATGGTCCTCCAGAGAAAATCTTCTTCAGGCTGGAAGTCTGCATCAAAGATGACTACAAATTCACAATCTTTCACATACTGTTTCTGTAAGCCTTCTCGAAGAGCACCGGCTTTGTACCCATTCCTGTTGTTCCTCGTCTCATACTTCACGTTCACCCCTTTCTCTATCCATTTCCTGCACTCCAGTTCCACCAATGCCTGCATGCACTACTCATTAAAATGTTGCAAATTCTCACATCTTTAATAAAGCTTTCATTTGAGGTTTGAGCTGAAAAAATACCCTTAGGACTTCATTTGTGGAGTCATCAAGAACTTGAACAATGAGGCGATCTGAAGGCCATGAAAGTCCACATGAGGCTCCTATAGAGAGCTTGTAAACCTAAACAAGAAGAAGAAGTTTAGTGGAATATATTTACTTTAAATTGATTTATTCTTTCACTGCCACAACTTACCTTTTTGATTAATGTTATCATAGGTATGCTCACAACTGTGTAATACTTTTATCTTGAACCAGGAAAAAGTTTGGTCTTCACCTTTGGTCTCCTATCACACAAACTTTTAAGATGTTCCACTCATATATGTATAAACTAGAAGAAATTATGTAAAATTAATTAGACATTCATGAGTTTATCCTTTTATCTTCTCTCCAGCTTCTTTTTTATTTTCACTTCTCTTCACGCTTCTCTCTTCTCTACAAATTCCTCCCTGTATGTTACACAATCATGTGGTTGTGCTTGACCTCTAATACAATCAAATCACACGAATGACAGTCCACTTGATCAGGTTGGCACCATGTTCATTTGTTTGACACTTTGACATAAGGAGCAGATAGCCTTATGGAGTTTGTGATGGAAAATTCTTCACCGACTCACAGTTTTATTGCTTTTGTATGCTAGCTAGGCTGAAGTTTTCAGATGTTTACGTCTCATGTCATGTCAAATAGGCGTTTTGTGTTTTGGCTGTTTTTGCATTGATAGTATGTTTAAGATATATGTGCGTAGAGCCAAACATTAGTGGGTGACAATTGTAAATTGGGCGGTCTTTAATGGAGTTATCTACCTGTTTATGCTTCCTGGTGTCTTATAATTCCAAACCATATTCTAGAGATGGAAAGTTATATGCTTTTTATGTGTGTGTTTGTGACGACCCTTATCACTATATTGCTTCAAAAATGTCAAAATTTCTATATATAAATGATTTGTACGTAATGAGAACATTTCCAAGACAATTTAGTTTCTTTCCAGGTAAGTAAAACTTGGCATGAATGCACTTCCATAAATCAGTCTTTACTATCTTATCAAACTAGGGGCAGAAATTTGGCTATATGAAAGTTAAGTGAGAGTGCACTGAAGAAGGGAAGTCCATGCTAATGGAAATTAAATTGTGCATTGATCAACTACTATTAACTTAGATAATGTGGCAGCAAATTCTTGTGCGGAAAATGTTGGATATATGTAAGAACCTATTTTCCATCTTTCTATGTTCTCTACTGCCTCATCTATCATTTTGCTTGGATCTGTAAACCTTTCTTTCTTTACTAATATAAGCTACTCCTAGCAATTGTAAAACTAAAACTTTTCGTTTTGAAGAAACATACTGATTTATCCTTAAGGTATATGTATATTGCCGTGCTCGCATCAGATTCAATCGATGAATGATTATTGATTGCTATAAAGCTTTTCTTTTTCTCATGATAAATGCATCCACTCTTTGAACAATTGTTTTTAACTTTCTATTCCTGCATATGAAAATGATATCCATGCAGAGTTTGTTTATTGTAATTAATTATAGTTTGTACAGCCAAGTACAGAATATGATGCATTAAGGGTGTAAGTTTAACATCTAAAACTATATATGTAACTTGTACCTCTTTTTCGTTATACATGGGTATTTGAATCAACACCATGGGGTAGCTTTTGTTGTGCTCTAGGTCTTCCTTCAGGGCATCCAACTTGTACTTGGTGTATCTTTTCTTCCCCAACAACTTTACACATATGATGACAATCGCCATGTAAACTCGTTCAACAAAAAGCATAATAGACATCACCGCACATATGTGGATTGCAATGGTTAGAAGTGGCACAATTACAGGAACTCTTATATGCTGCCAAGCATAGCTGAGACTACTTGTAATATCATCGTTCACTCTCACCTCTGGCTTTCTAAGAACTAAATTTCTCATATTTGATAACTAACTTTATGAGAGAAAGAACACAAAATGGAGCTGAAAAAGGGTGCAGCACTTAAGAGAAGAGGATAATGAATTACAACAGGATACTCATTTGATGGGCACAGTGTCTTTGAGTATGCGAGCATTGCTTTAATAGAGATAGGGTGAAATAAGGGTGAAGTTGGATGAGGCTTAGGTGGAAGAGCGTAATACAATGAGTGAACTGCTATAAGAGTTTTTGATCACGAAAGACACACGGTCTACATGCAAGTAAAGATGTTGCAACGTATCAACTTGCTAGCTGGAATTCTGGTCTCTCCTGCCGACATTGCTGTTGCAAGCATTAAAGTCAAATGATTCCGGATCAAGACATATTGAAGAAAACAAAAAAAAAATATGCAGGGAAGTAGCTTGTGCATTAGTGAAGCATGATACTTCCAGCGAAAAAAAGAAAGGTATGTACAACAAAACTTGCCGATACTGCTTGTTTACCCTCCAGATGCATGTTATTGCTTTTTTCCAATAATTATCGTATTTTTCTTTTCAATATAAATTTTTTTTTGCAATTTTGTCAATTTTATTTGGGTAATGAAATTATTACTATTTTGTAGCAACTGGTGATATTGCTCATTTTTTGTTGACACTATATTTTGACTGAAGGAGCTGTTGAAGAAAAACTGTAAGCTGGCATATTGAAGTTTATTACCGTTGACAACCATGCTTCATCTAACTCAGGTGATTAAGAATGACCTTACAGACGTCACACTCTTGGAAGAAAACATGTATGTTTTGGAATTGTGTTAACGTGTGAATGCGACATGTTTTGCATGTGTCAACGTTAAATGTTAACATCTAGCTTTGACATCTCAGCTAAGTTGTCGATTTCTGAATGAATCAAGTTGGTGTTGGAAGTTATGATTAACACGTAATTAGGTGGTTTGAACCTTCTATATGTTTTAGTAACTCATTGTTTGAGCTTGTTCATTTTGGACAGGTTTGAATGGGTAAATTCGTTATTGGAAGAGATATTTAGTAACTATTGTTCTTAGTACCGAATCTTATCTCGTTGATAAGGATTTATGATCAAGTTCAACTCATATTTTAATTTTAATGGCCAATAACTAGGTTCAACCATACTGATAGAAAAGATAGCAAGTTCGGCGGTGAGTGTGACTTACGTTTCAAGATTTCGTAATGACATTGATCATACAATTTTAGCACATATGTGAAGTATTGGTCGCTAGTAGGAACTCTTGTACTTCATTTAGGTGGTTTTTAACTTGTATAGTTGAATTGCCTTATTAACTTTCACTTCCTTTCTTTACATCTGTTTCTTAGCTGCAAAAATCAAATTATTCACGGAAGAAGTTTGGGCATCTGAAGTTTTAATGTTGCACCACCTCTCTCTCTCTCTCTCTCTCATACACACGTGCATGTGCGGATGAACTTGCACAATCACATGTTTCAATCACATCCTGACTTCAGGGGAATGGAGTGATGGACACGCAACATTTGAAAAGATGTCTCCTGATTGTAGATTTTCTTCCTAATTTTTTCTTCTTTTTTTCCCTTATTATATTTGTTGTTGCTCATCATGTCTTTTTATACTGCTTTCATTTTCTTTTTTCAAAGATGCAAACCAAACCATTCTCCTTCTTTGAAATTATTGTGCCAGCCATTACTGTTGTACTACAATGGCATTGGTTTATCTTACCCTTTTGCTTTATGAAATTTCATTTGATAGTCTGCGTTATCATGATTTGACATGTAATGTTCCTGAATCCAGAAAACATCACTTTGCCTCTCCAATGTGTCTTTCTTTTAGTTCCCTTCCTGGTTGGAATTCGAAAAATATATCTCTGATGCACGTTTTAACAGTTTCATTTATGGGTTCCATTTTATCATCAATCTTTTTGCAGGTACTATCTCCCTGCAAAGGGATTTAGTCTTCTTAATGATATAGTCTTTGTTTTCAGGATATCATTTATAGTTGCAATTGAACTTTCCTAATTTCAATAGATTATTCCATATTTATTGTAGAAGTTATTATAATGGCATCTTAGGGAAAATGTTTTACATGATAAACATATAGAACACGAACACTTTTATGATGGTCAGTTGGATTTGCTGATCACACTCAACGATGTGATTACTGTTTGGAGTATATATAGACATTAATGATTTGACAGTTTTTTGGAAAGTAAATGTGATAGATAATGTCACCTTAAAATGAAGAGAAATTATCGTAAGGGAGAAGAATGTGTATGTTTTAGTAGAATTGTTTCTCAAAATACATACTGAGTTGTCTTGTATGCATGAAGTAATATGCTTTGAGCCCATTAGAGATAGAAAGTTGTCTTCAACACTTGATCTTCGTATTTGATGTAAGCTTCATGTTGATTGCATTTTTATATTTAATGTCACAAACGTCACATAATTGGCATGGTTCATTAATGATTTTGATCTGCCAGAAATTTTTTTTTTTTTGCAACTGTTCTGTGCATTGATTGGTGCTTCTAATCTGCGGTGAATTTCTTATGGTTCAACATTGATGAGCACTCATTGCATTATTTCATAGTCTTTCACATCCAATTTAGGCTTGCCAACTAACTAACTTGTTTTACTTAGTGCATTTTGTAGCTTAAGCCTTGATTTTGGTGTTGCAGGTATTCAAGGTATAAACATGGAGTTTTAGCATGGATATAAGGGAAAGAAACAAGATGGCAGTGAGTTTGCTCGGGATTACATGAAGCTAGGGCCTTGTGAAGTCAATTGAAGAAGAGAGAAGAACTACCGGTAAGTGTTCTACCAGTAGGAAGACAAAAAGATAGGGTTCTATCGGTAGGAAGTCCGTTCTACTAGTAGTTGAGCTCACAGGAGTTTACAAGTTTTCATTAGAGAAGTTCTACCAATGGCTGAAGCCTCAGTATTTTTATGAGAAGAGTCCTACCAGATTAACTACTAGTAGGAGAAGCTTCAGGAGTTCCTAACAAACAGAGAACTATTGGTATATCTACCTTGCTACTGGTAGATCGAGACAAATATTCTTGAGAAGCTTAATTAAAGATTAGATTTTGTCAATTTTTTTGGGGATTCTTAACCAATAGAAGAGGGATATAATTTTGGGATTGATATCTTTCAAAGAAATGAAGATTTTCCTTCCAACTATGATAAATAAAGACTCTTTGAGAGGTTGAAGGATATACGTCTTTAGGAGTTTTTTTTTTTTAATTTTCTTATTAAAGAGTTTTAGGGTTACGTTATAGAATTTATTTAAATTTCAGTTCTTTTCATTTATTGGTTCAAGCAACTTTCAATTTCAATTGTCTTTACTTTCAAAACTTGTTTATTTACATCAGCTTTTTAATACAAGCAATCAATTTCAATTCTGTCTTTATTTTTATGTATTCAATTGTGTCTTTTTTAAAGTTTTACGATATTTTCATTATCATGAGTGAGTAGTTTTCATCTAGATGATCTGAGGAATGAGTCTCAAACCTATGAAGTAGGGCGTATGCCATAAATTAGAGTTTTAATGTTTATGTGATTAATTAAACAGGTTATGCGTTCGAAAACCTAATTGGTTTGCGTACGTCCTTGTTATTTATATGCAATTGGACTAGGTACAAATAATTGTAGTGTTATCTATAACCTTTAGAGTACCGATTCTTTCATCATAAACCATCTTTCAATTGTTACATTAGTTTTTTCAAAGTTTTTATTTGAAAATCATATGTCTGTAATAGTTTAAATATAAAAGCAAACAAATTATAAATTTAAGGTAGAAACTCTTATTTATAGGTGGGACGAATTTCGAAGTTTGTCCAATTTTTCTATTTATTGAATTTCAATTTTATTAGTAGTTAACTCTCAAAATTCTTGAACTCAAAGAACTTTTTCATTTTGTTTTTCATCACTTTGAATTCGAATTCTTTTTCTAAGCAGAGGACCTTGAACTTTTGTTTAAGTTATTACACGATATTCTTTTCTTACGCTTGGGAGCTTTAGTGAAAATACAACTCGATTGGCGGGCAAGCAAACATTATATGCAACTGTAGTGGTGGCACGGAAATAGCATAACCCTGTTTATGATTTGTTTTCCTTCGATTATGGTGTATTGACTAGAATGAGTTTGCTTTGGGCACATAAGATTCAACCTGTATTGAGTTCATTTCAAATAAGGCGCATAGTATTACCTTATCTCAAAATGCCAATTCTAGACAAAGGGTTTTTTTTTCACTAATAACTCTGGATTTTAGGCAATCTTTTTAAGGTTGTCTTGACCACAGTGATGCTTATCTATTCTTTGGCAGCCTTCATATTGAAATCCAATGGCATAATCTGTTGTTTACGCTACCGTACTAGGAGAGTTACTCTTGTATCTTATTCTTCTGGAATTTGATTTATGTTCATAACTATTTATTCCCCTCTAAGTTCATTGCAATTGGTAAAAGTGGTATAAATTTTAGCTCATTATATGTGACTAGTTCTGTCGAATGAACAATTTCATGCTGATAGATGATGTTTTTTTTGTTGCTTGAGGTGGCAATTGCATATACTATTGTGACGGGGAAAACGATTGATCTTATGGATAGGGCTATGGTTGGCAATGGGCTGGTTTTGTATCGTATTAAAATTTGCTCGACTTATATGTGACCTATTCATAATCTTGTATGGTCGGATTCGTGCTGTGTTGGATTTGTGTTCTGTATAAGTCGTGTTTGACGGATTTGTATTAACCACTTTCTAAGATGTTCACTTGTTTACCATTTAAATCAACATGTCTTTGGTCCAATGATATTTTTTGCCTTATGAATATTTTACCTTCTTGATGTTAAGGGTTCAAATCTCATTTCCCCCTTCTCTTCCCCTCAAAAAAAAAATAATAATAATTTGTTTACCAGTCAAACGTGCTTTGGCTAAATTTAAATCTTGTTATTTTGGATCAATTTTGTGATAGGTTCATTGGATTGCGTCTAGAATTGCCCACTCTAGGTATGACATTACAGTTA